CTCGCTTGGGTTAGGTGGGCAAGGTCTCTTGTTGCGGTGACCTATCCGACCGATCGATAAATGAACCCGATCGGTTGTGATTTTCGGACCGGCATAGGAGGAGGATACATTCTGATTAGGATGCTGCTGTTGGTAGAGAATAACCACAGGAGAATCCGTTGTGGAACGATGCGCCATGTGAGAGATTTGGAATGAAAATGCTCATGCGATGATGACACTGGGCCAACGTTTGATACACGCACTATTTTTAAGCGGGTTCTCGCGCAAATTTTCCGGTAGGAGTGAGACGGGAGTTGACTNACTTGAAGAAATTCACTCTTGTTCAGCCAACCGAAAACCATAGACGCCAGCCTACAGGAATTACGGCAAGTCTCAAGCAGTTAACGATTCATAAACTAAAAGTGCATATCTTAAGCTGCCCTTAGACCCTGGTTACGATGACCTTGGCAAGTGACCTGTCTAATTTCATCGGTGCTCTAGGACAAGTGAGAGTATCGTTCATTTATTCAGACAGACGCGTCCACACCACGGTGTTTATCGATCGCTCGGATCTGACATCTCACTCCACTCGCCCGCTTACCAGTCGATCGTGATTATGGTTCGCCCGTTTGCACGTTAGTGCGACAGCCCATTGGTAGACCGAATGACCGTGGCTTTGGTGACCACTGCGGCAAAAATAACGACATTCGAGGGCCCCACAGTTCAGTTCAATGCCCCACAAAATTGCCAAAAATCTTTGCAGATTACAAAGATGTACTTTTAGCAAATCATAAATCGTCGTTTGTCTCAACTTGGCTCTCCGTTGAAAATCAACAAACGCGCTGTTTAAATCAATTATATACTCCAATAATCGACCCAAACTCCCATTATTAGCCAAGGCAAAGAGCTTCAAGTGATCCAATAACTTCTGCGCTTCTCTGATTGAGATAACTTCCGGTGCGTTCACTGCCTCACATTCAACTTCTTCTTTGCGATGCTTAGCTTGATTCGAAACGATTTCATCTAATGAATAAAAAAAGAGACTTGATACAAAAAATTTAAATAACCCACTTCTTCATCATCAAATTAAAAACGGGCGATTTCTTCTTCTTCAAAAAAAACAGTGATCAATAGACACACAATGAGTAAAGTCCTCGATCAAATCGCATTTATCCTCTGGTGGCTGCTTCGCCGGCTGAATCAATGTGGATTTGAACCCTGCTTTCATGAAAGCGTTGATCAGTACGTGCGGGTACACAGACACCCAGGCTTTCTCGAATGGACAATTGATGTAATTCGTTCTCCGTCAGAGTGTGCACTGCCTGGAATTCCTTACCATCTCATGTCGTTTGTGCCAAAACGATTGATTCTTTCTTCTGTCTTCAGGATTGAGGGCAGAGGGCAGGGTGCCCGTGTAAGCCCCATCACCACTGGGTCGAAGGTCCGCTCACGAGTGTTCGTTCCTCCATAGTCCCTTCAGATGCTCATCCAGACGCCGTCTGAAATCNCCACCACAATCGCTGGAAGAGAATTACAGAGTGTTGTTGACCTACGCGAGAGTCGGTAGACTAACGGGAGACCAACTGACTGAAGTTTCCGCAACGTGAGAGAGTGCCTCCGCGTGCAGTGCTCTGTCCGTAAAGGGAAGTACTGTTGCAGCTCCGGGTCCATATCACCTCTCAGGATCTTCCTCAGGTAGATGAGATCTCCCATGAGGCGTCGATACGCAATTGGGAACAGACCAGTAGACTGTAGACGACCTTCATAGCTGGTCCCGCTTAGTCCAACAACGATTCTAGTGGCAGCACGTTGTACACGCTCCAACTTATCCAGTTCACCGGCCGNGATGAGATCTCCCATGAGGCGTCGATACGCAATTGGGAACAGACCAGTAGACTGTAGACGACCTTCATAGCTGGTCCCGCGTAAAAAAGGTAAAAATTTATAAATCATTAATACACATTGCATTTCAACATCCATGAGCATACATAACATAACCGAAGCTATCATATGAAATTTTGTTCATCATTGTTACAATTCAACTCGTGTAAACACCCATTGGGACAAGGAAAGCTTCTGCTTGTAAGTAATGTCCATAACAAAACTTTGACTTTGACTTTCTTGACCGGATGCATGGCCATAAGAATGTTTACCTCGGCTTTCATGATACGTTGCTCATCTTCGATCAAAGACAAAATATATTCCAGTGTATGTTTCCGAAACGAACATTTGAAAGACCAAATCACGCCCTGATCCATTGGTTGTAACATTGAAGAGGCAGCCGTACCGATTTCACGATGGAAAATACTGCGTCTTGGATATGGCAAGAGGTGTTGTCCATAAATAGTAAAATAGATTGCCTTTGAGAAACCATTTTTCGGTTGACATAGGACAGCCAACTGTGAAATAACGTAGAAGTCATTCATGCGTTCTTTGAAGAATTAAAACTGCATGGAATTCTTTTTCCATCTATACCACGGAGGCGTCGTGGAGTTTGAAACTTTCCAATCATCAACGGTGATAACTTTTCTCCAGTGATGCTCCAACAAAGCAGTAACGTGACCCTGTCTTTGGATTTCTTGGACCCAGAAACCGTCTTTCCTTTCAGACTCAATGTTCTTTTTGGGAGCCACCTGTAATACGAAGCTGTTTCATCTACAGTGCGATTGCTCCATCGTTTGCTATCGTCTCGTCCCTCTTATCCGTGACCTTAAACAAGTAAATTCCCTCTGACCCTTTCTGTGATCTGATTGGATCATATTCCGCGATCTGCGTCGCTTGAAATCCCTCACCCTAACACGAGAATGTCTGATTACTAGCTCGTACGTTTTGTAATGCTCTTGTTGTCACGTCCAGTTCATCCGTGTGCTGATGGCACTCTTGCTGCACAGTCGAAGTTCACTGGGCCTGCCTGAGACTCACAGTTGTAAAAAAAGTGCGTTTTCTCGCTCCGGTTAGCTGGGCAAGCACCAGGTCTGAATTATTGGACCGATCGATAAGCGAACCCGATCGGTCGTGCGATTTTCGGGCCGGTACAGGAGGAGCATAGGCTCCGAATCCGATGCTACGTAAGTGTTGGTAGAGAATCAAGAGAATCAGCTGTGGTGCGCCATGTGGGAAATTCCGAATGGAAAATGCTCAAGTGATGATGACACTGAGCCAACGCTTGACTCGTCTAAGATACACGTACTATTTTTCGAAGCGGGTCCGGTAAACAGATAATCATCATAAAACTTTGAATTGGTCTTACTAACGGACAACAATATCCTCTAATGATCAAACTCGTGCGACATCATCCTGATTTCGGAAATACATTTCAGTCTCCAATATCATACTTGTGTACTGATGGCTATGGGTAACGTATATTTATTACTGATTTTATCTCCCACTTCTAAGTTCTTAGTTCTCTTCTATCACCGTTTGAATCAGCATGAACTTGAGCGTTGCGATAAAATTAGTAGTAGTTCGAAAGTTAAAACTCAGATTTGGAAAATATTTTAGGCGAAGTAGTATTTTTAATAAATAATTTCGATAACTGCTACTCTTTAAATGCATTCGCGGAAGTTACCTTTTTCATCGATGAAGTTTTGTATATTTTCTCGCTAGAGGTTGGTAGTAAAAATCGGTCAGATCTAATTAAATATTATTTTAACATNTAACATTTATGCAGTCCCTGGAAGGGTTAAGTTCAATATCAAATCCATTCAAATACCGCATAGCAGCTGGGGTTTTCATTTAATCGAAAACGTTTTACTGTATCAGAAACAGGGATAAGTCAGCTATTATGACATTGGTCGTCAATGGTTAGGGTGCGGGGTGTATAAGCGGAAACTGGCAAATTCTATTTGGCAGTCAGGTTGGTGGACTGCATGCTAAAGGGACTGGCTGCAGTGCTCAAAAATGAAGAAGGGCAAATGGAACATGGACGAGATGAAAGTACAATACCTATAAGAAGTCTGAGTCTTTTTAATTAATGAATTCTAGTTACGTTTTCTACGATGACTGTCATTTCACAAGTGATGCATCAGCAACCATCGTCAAAATCACGAAATCGTACATTCTTATTGCATGCGGCTAATGGAAGCAGACATAAGTGGGTATTATATCAGATATGTTACTTTTGATGTGGGGCAATATTATATTCAATCCCATGAGTGAGGCTGGAAAAACGAAGCACTGAGAGGAACAAATTTGATGAAAATCAGGATGTTGTACGAGTATTAAGTATGCTGATGATGTCACAATTGGTTCCAAGTTCCAAGGTGATTTCCGCTTCTCACATTTTCAAACCAGTTTATCTGCCTTAAACTTATAGTGTTCGTCTTCCAAGTTATCTCTCAAGGTATCTAAATGTAGCGGTCACCTTTTCGCTCGTCAAAGGAGAACGGCTACCTTCGTTTGAAAGAAATTGTTCTGCACTCTATGTTGACAACCAGCCTGTTCTCCCAGTAAACTCTCTACACTACCTCGATGTCACTATCTGTCAAGACCTCACCTGGACCTCACTTTTGTAAAGCTTCGACGGTTGTGTTTCTTTATTACCCGTTTGCGTTCTCTAAAAGTTCCACTGTATTTACTCACTCGATTTGTATATTATTGTGTTGTTACTCATCTTCTCTACTGATCCCCAGTTTTATTTGCCGGTCTCAGAGCTAAAGATTACACAATTCTACGCCGGTCTATCAAAATTATTTCTCGCACAAGCGGTATACCTTATTTGCATTTGCTTAACTTTATCGCCGATAAACATTTCACCTACTGCGATAGATTCTGTAACAATATTCTATCAGACATCACTCACACATTTCACACAAAACTTAAACAATGCATATCCACTTCTGTAACAAAATGTCGTTATAAACTGGTGTATGCTCGCACCACTACCTATCGTTTGTACGTCATCCCTTATCTTTCGAGATTTTTGGCTTAAAAGGTATCCGTTAGAGAAGACTTTGAAATTCCTACGCAATTGATATTTATTTTCAAACTTGTTACTCCATATTTCTTTGAATTGACGATGCTGTTTTTTCACACTTTCTTTGTGACTGTATGCGACAATAAATGTTCCTGGAGTGCAAGAAGAAGCTGAGAATCCATCCATCAGGATGAATAAAGCGATTTTTGACTTGACTTGACTTGACTGGGGTGTTGTTGAATTAGTTCACCTTGTTCCCGTAGTACATCGCAATCAACGCCAAGCAATCGTCGATCGACAGACGACGAGTACGTGAGCAAGCCATGATAATAACCAGTGTATCGACCGTTTGTTCTTAATCCTGTTCTTATATACCACAATACATTGCCGTTATCTCCAAATAGAGAGAGGTACATCACTCAAAAACAGAAAAGGGTGTGTTAGACCCTGGTTACGATTATCTTTGGTCAATGGCCTGTCTAATTTCGTCAGAGCTCTAAGAGATACTGTTGCGATTAGCATTCAACCATTCACACAGGCTTGTAAGTGCCAATGATTCTGAAAAATACGTAGGTAACGTCTGTGTTGCTGTGCGTGTGAATGGATACTATGAACAATACTCTAAGGGGTGTACGAGAGTTCAAATCATCCTGTGGATACTATTTGAACTGTGAAATATATCAGATACATAAACCGTTTGACACTCAGTTGATAACCGGCTTTATGTCGCTCTAGCGTCATGGTAAATCCAGAGCTCTGACTGACTGTTCTTGAACGAACAAGAAAAGGGTGGTTCAACGGATTCGTGATCGCTTCGACTGTGCACAGTAAGCGACTGACCAAAGATAATCGTAACCAGGGTCTAACGCACCCCTTACTGTTTCTTTTTATTCCCGAAAACTGAGAACTATCGAGGAAGTTAAACAGAGTATTGTGGTGCAGTGCGAAAACATTCCAACTGCTACCATTTGGAAGATGGAAGAAAACCACCTTCACCGGATTTTGCTATGCAAGCAGCAGAATAGAAAACATTGGAACAACTTTTATAATATGAAAATAATTTTTCCCGTAATATTTGTTCATTCTTTCTTTCGA